GGGGCTTATTAGAGAGGGGGGCTTATTAGAGAGGGGGCTTATTAGAGAGGGGGCTTATTAGAGAGGGCCAGGCTTATTAGAGAGGGGAGCTTATTAGAGAGGGAGGCTTAATAGAGTGGGAGGGCTTAATAAATATCTTCCTCTAAAAAGGGGGGGCTTATTAGAAGGGGGGGCTTTATAGAGGATTTATGGTACAAGCTTATGATATAACAGAACTGGGTGGAGAGATGCAGAGTGTAATTTATAGACAAAAGTGTGTTTCTTAAAAACATGATAAAATGAACCCAGACCTTTGATGAGGAATCCACAATGCTAACCATGATATTCTGCATCACCCAAAACCCTCAAGAAGATATTACAGTAGAAGGGACTCACTCATAACTTCCCCTGACACTGTCTATAATTATGTAAAGGTGTAAAGAAACTAACAAACACATTAAGTGGAATATAATTATTATCTTGAGTTAAATGCCAAATTCTTGCAACTTATCATCAAGGGTAATAAGTTTGTGAGTAATAAACCATGTGAATGTTGTTTGATTGTTTTTGTCATTTTTTTTTTTTTAATTATAGTTTTCTTGAGTTTTGGCTGGGTGACATGGTTACTTTACCAAACTGCTGGTCTCCTGAGAGGAGTGTGGCAATGTTGCTCCTTCCAATGCTGTTTTCTGCTGCACTGTTGTCAGTAGAATTGTGGGTGATCAGTTTGTGGTGGGCAATTTTATGTGGGCCATTTTATTTCCTCAGTATTTAAAAGCTGATATGTTAGAGCAGTGCTTGTGATCTGGAAAATCAATAAGGACCTGCTAGTTAGGTTTCCGGCCAAGGTTATGAAGAGGAGTGAAGTAACATGTTGTCTTTGAATTATTTTGCTTTGCATAGGATTACCTGCATGAAATTACTGAAAACTCTGATGCTATAATACTACTAACAAACTTAGGCAAATTCTAACCACATAGTATTCGTTAGTTCTGTTATAGGAGGCTTCCTATCTGATAGGCTTGGTAGAAGAAAACCTCTTGTTATTGGATCAGGTACATATTTATTAGTCCATATCATTAAGGGAGCTTAGTCATATCATCTTAAGGTCGTTTTGTTTATATCATTCATATCTAGTGTTGCCTTTTAATAGAAGAGAACTTTGATGAAATAATTTGTCATTATTGACAAGTACCATGCAGGAAAAGGACAAGGCTTGCGAAGGATGGAAGAGATTGACAATAACTGTACAAGCTTGAAAAACATAGGCTCAAGTTTCAGGATGCACTTACAATTATTATAGCCATTGTAAACCAGTCCTCCACAGTGAATTTAAAATTGCTTTCTGTTGCAGCAATATTAATGAGTGTCTGTGCAGTGATACTGGCTGGATTGCAGGGGAAATATGCTTTTTACGCTTCAATGCCAGTAGCCTTAACATTTGGTTAGTGCAGCATTTAGCTTTAATCAAAGTTTCAACGAGTGAGGTGGTAGCCTAGGGGTTAGAGCCCTTATAGAAATGCTGGGGGGAGGGGCTGGGGGTGGGATATCCAGTGATGAAGCCTGTTTCTTGAAGGTCCCAGTAATTAAACAGGCTTGTGAAGCTGTTCAGTTTTTGTTCAAGATGGGAGTTTCAAAAGTTTTGAGAATTATTTCATAAAACTAGTTGCTAAGGAAACAAAATGGACTGCTTAGAGTGCCAGAATTTGCTTCTCTATTCTTTAACTTTGACTTT